ACTGTGAGCTTAGGCACCCTAGAGTTCCTTGAAAGTGACACAGAGACCATCCAGGAGGAGGGGGAAGAAGTGGGAAGAAGGCTGGTAGGCATGGCTCCAGACCACTTACTGTGGCCTCTCTAAAAAGAGCAGTGCTGCTTTTATGTGTTTTATCTATTAAGGATTCTACTCTAAAGCAGAAAAAACTGATTTGAAAATCTCTAAATAAAAATAAAATATCTTTACTAATTTTCAACTGACTTTTTCTTATACTGAAGCCCAGTTGTCCTTGGGTAACTTTTCAATGGGACCTACAGGTAAGGAACTGTTATAACTTAGGAAAAGCAAATGTATGCTATTTTACAACTATATTACTCTCTACTGCACACTGTGTATGACAGTAAGTACATGCCAAAACAGTGGCCAGATGTTATCAGCATCAGAAACAACAGAAAAATAATAAAGTAACTAGAATGGCATCAGTCCAGTCAACATTCATAAATTAACATTCGCCTCCTAGAAGACAGTGAGTAGAGTACAGGATTTATATTCTTAAATAAGCCTCTAGGGCCATCCTTCTAAACAAATTTCAGAAGGAAACACTTGTGCAACATGCCTATTGGGAAATGCATTATCCAGTTATACTTCATATTCTGACACAGTTGTGGTGATAGAAGATCCAAAAACTGAGTCCCGGATTTTAATTATGGTTCTTCATTACTTCTTCTTAAGTAATTCCTGTGTTCTAGGGTTCAGAGTAAATACCTGGTGATGAGTCAAAACCTCAAGAACTCGAAGACATTAGAACTGGAAGGGATATAGTTAATACTTCATACCACTTCCCATGTGCCAATACTGTTCTAAGAGCTTTCCATATATTTAGTCATTTCGTCTAATCCACAACACACAATGAGGTAATATAATACCCACTTTATAAATGAGGAATCTGAGGCACAGAAAAATTAAGTAACTCACCAAAGTCATAGAGCTTGTAAGTAGAAGAGCTAGAATTCAAGCCTCCCCAGTCTGGCTTCAGAGTGCTATTAAACATTATGTTATTTTTAGAAACTTATCGTACAGCCACATAAAGATGAGGAAACTGGTATCTGGAGATGTTAGGTGGCTTGTCCGTATTATTAAGCATCAGTGAAGAGTTCAATTTACAACTCTACAATTTGGCCCCAAGCTGTCTTACCAGAATTATTATTATTATTTTTTTCTTCTTTAGCTCCCTCTATTTTGAATGATAGAAATGCCATTATCCTCAAGGTTGACTTATTAGTAAACAGAGTAGTAGCTGTATAAGGTAATTTCAAAAGTACAATAAAGCCTTCCTACTCTATAAGATTTTCCCATCAAGCTCCCAAACCTTTTAATCTCTTCCTTTTAGTGTAGAAGCCAGTACTTCTTAAAACTCTCCTATATAAACCTTCGGCTCAGGCTCAATTAGTCTATATTCATTCCCCAGAATATTTGTCTCATTTTCGTGATACTGGCTTTTGCTCAAACTTTTTTCATCTAGAATGTTTCTCCCTGCGCTTACCACGTATTTAATAAACATCTCCTTAACTGACTACTACATCAAACATGCTATGAGTTCTGTGAGAGCAGGGATTGCTTGTGTCCTACTCATCTTTCCATCTCTAAGATCTAGTCACTTAGCAATTGGTTCATTTCCCATGCCTCTCTGCCAGTCCAAATCTCCCCAGTCCCAAAGGTTCCATCATAGGTCTCAGTTGTACTCAGCTGAGAGTAATCTGTCTCTCCACTCAACTTCAAGAGTCCTCACTGTCTGGACCATTCTCTTGGCAGTTAATCATATACTGCCTTCTTACT